ATTAAGAAGCGTGTAAAATCAATAGTGGACAAGTATTATTGGACATGAGAGTATTATATCCAACCATAATAAATTTATTAGTTCTTATAAAGTGAAATAAAATCAATTTAAATTGGGTAATGGATAAAAATATTTGATAATTTCATATTTTAAATAAGAGGATCAGAATAATCTTTTGTCTGAACTTATCTAATATTAGGTTCAATTAAGTATTTTTTTTTAAAAAAAATAGATATATGTTAAATGTGTGCGATAAAATAGAGTATCCCAAATTTCTACTAAAAGAAAAATAATGAAGAATGTGAATATTGAGTAGAAATTTCACTGGACACCTTATTTGGTTATCTCCATTTAATATGTACTCCTTTAAAAAAATATGTTTATGTTGTAAAACTAAATGGATGCCATGTGGGCCATCCTTTTAAGTGTCATCACTTGCTATACTAAAATGATGCCATGTGGGGTCACCCATTTTTGAGGTGTTATTACTTGGCCAAGTGGATAACTTCCTAATGGTCAAGTGTTAGTTTGTATGTTACTAATTGGCTATATATTGCCATTACTTTCATTCACTAAAGGATGAGATAAGAAAAGTTTGGAATATATTATGCTCTCCCTTTGTTTGTTCTTCTTATTATTTTAGTTTATTAATATTAGTTTGTTAGCTAGTTATTTTATAACACATTCTTAGTACGAGACTCTATCAACTTGAGCTACTTTAAATAGGTAAAAAGGGTAAGAATTTTATTTTTCTAAAAAAATGTCTAATGTTTCTAAACTTGAATATCACGGGCAAATGATACTCGTCAAGAATACTAGACACTGAAATCCACCTGGATGAGATGGGTCTGGTAGACACCATCAAAGATAATAACCAGGCATCCAATCAAGAACGTGCAAAAGCTATGATATTTCTCCGTCGCCATCTTGACGAGGGGTTGAAAATGCAATACCTCACCATTAAAAACCCCCAAATACTGTGAAATAATTTGAAAGATAGTTATGACCACCTGAAGTTGGTCATTCTTCCACAGGCGCGTCATGATTGGTTTAATCTGAGGTTACTAGACTTTAAAAGTATAACTGAATATAATTCTTCCATGTATAGAATTATATAACAGTTAAATTTATGCGGAGAAGAGGTCATTGAACATGATAAGCTTGAGAAAACATACTCCACATTTTCTACCTCGAGTATGATCCTGCAGCAGCAATATCGAGAAATGGATTTTAAAAAATATTCTAAATTACTTTCACATCTTATTGTTGAACGACATAACGACCTATTGATAAAAAATCATGAAAGTCGGCTCATTGGTTCTATGCCACTCCCTGAAGTGAACAGACAAATTATCACCAACGAGAAAGAGGTCGTGACTCCTATCGTGGTCATGGCTTCGGTCGTGGCCGTGGTCATGATGGTCGTCTTGCACCAAAAAACTGACCAACAGTATAAAAGGAAGGGTGAAAGACAAGAAGTGATACAAAAGAAATTTTTAGAAAGTGTATGTCACAAATGAGGAAGAATGTGGCACTGGTCGGGTACTTGTCGATCATCTAAGCGTCTGGTTCAGCTCTATTAGGCATCCTTGAAAAAGGGTGATAATAATCTAGAAGCAAACTTTGTCTGAAGATAATGTTGAGCTCATACATAAGATGAATAAGAATACAGAAGCAAACTTCATCTCTGAAGATAATGTTAAGCCTATGCATCTGGATGTAGCTGATTTCTTTGTATTCCCTGAACGAAAAACGATCAGTGACGATCCCACGATAATCTAGGTAATTTCCTTTTCTGTTTGTCTGTATTAGTTGGTATGTTTGTGTTTTCTAATCCTTGTAAATATAATAGCCATTTTAATAGTAATATTTTACTTTGTTTATATATGTTTTTGAAGGAAATATGGATATGCCCCAAACTTCGTTTGGATCAATGATCAATCATGAAGATATTTGTGTAATTGATAGTGGAACAATGCACACCATATTCAAAGATGAGAAATACTTCTCTTACTTGCTTAGAAGAAAAGCAAATGTTACTATAATTTCTGGTAATTCGAACTTAATAGAAGGCTCCGGAAGAGCTACTATATTTCTACCTAATGGGACAAAACTTGTTATAGAAGATGCATTGTTCTCTTCTAAATTCCAAGAAACCTGTTATGTTTTAAAGATATTCGCCGAAATGGGTATCATGTTGAGACAATAACTGAAATGAATGTTGAATACCTTGGTATTACCAAGATTGTCTCAGACCAGAAATATGTGTTGGAGAATTTATCAACTTTATCTTCTGGCTTATATTATGCAAAAATAAATACAGTTGAAGCACATTCTATCGTAAACCAAAAATTTACTGACTTAAAAACTTTTGTGCTTCGGCATGATCAAATAGGTCATCCTGGATCAATAATGATGAGACGAATAATTGAAAACTCAAATGGACATCCATTAAAGAACCTGAAGATTCTTACGAGTAATGAATTTTCATGTGCTGCTTGTTGTCAGGGAAAATTGATTACTAGGCCATCACCAATGAAGGTTAACATTAAATCCCCTCAATTTTTAGAGCGTATACATAGGGATATCTATGGACCTATTCACCCATCTAGTGGGTTGTTTAGATATTTTATGGTCCTAATAGATGCATCTTCAAGATGGTCTCATATGTGCCTCTTATCGTCTCGCAACCTGGCATTTGCAAAATTATTGGCACAAATAATAAGGTTAAGGGCGCAGTTCCCAGATTATCCTATTAAGGATATTCGCCTTGATAATGCTGGAGAATTTACATCCCAAACTTTTGATGATTATTGCTTATCAATTAGGATAAGAATTGAACATCTTGTTGCTCATGTTCATACTCAAAATTGCATGGCAGAGTCATTTATTAAGCGCCTACAATTGATAGCAAGACCGCTACTTATGAAAACTAAGTTACCTACTACTGTTTAGGGCCATGCTATCATATATGCAACATCACTTGTTCGTCTCAGACCGACTCATTATAATAAGGGCAAATTACAGAAATTACATACTTTTAAGGTAAAATTACAATTTATCCCTTAAAAGTTTATAATTACAGAAATCCCTCAAACGGATACAATAATATAAGCGTTGATACATTAATCTGATGCGCGAGATACATTAATCGTTAAGTAAGATACATTACATTTTATACATGATACACTAATCTGATGCACGAGATACACTAATCTAATGCGCGAGATACACTAATTTGATGCGCGAGATACATTAATTTGATGCGCGAGATACACTAATCTGATGCGCAAAAATGAGGAATTTTGAAGATTTGTAAAACTTATAGGGGATAATGGTAATAAGTAAACTAAAATGTGGGATTTCTATAATTTTTCATTATAATAAATACTCTCTGTCATAATTAATATTTGGTCATGAACCAAATATTGATCATCTACGAATTTTTGGATGTGTTGTATATGTGCCAGTAGCACCACCTCAGCGCACTAAGATGGGCCCCCACAAAAGGTTAGGCATATATGTTGGGTTTGATTCACCCTCCATGATTCGTTACCTTGAGCAATTGACGGTAGATTTATTTACTGCAAGATTTGCAGATTGTCGATTTGATGAAACAAATTTTCCGCAATTAGGGGGAGAGAAAAAAGAACTTGAAAGTAAAATTGCATAGAAAGTTTCATCATTATCTCATTTTGATCCACGTTTCCCTATGTGTGAACATGATGTCCAGAACATCATCCATTTGCAAAACATAGCAAACCAAATACCAGACGCATTTACTAATTTGAAAAGGACAACAAAGTCACATACTCCTGCAGTAAATGTGCCTATCCGGATTGACGTCCCAAAAGGACCATCTACAAGTGTCATGGCTTCTGAATCACAAACACGCTTGAAGCGTGGCAGACCATTGGTTTCAAAGGATAAAAATCCTAGAAAAAGAAGTACGACAAATGACATTATGAAAGAATCTCACGAAAAGATTCAAGATCTGATTAATCCTGATATTCCTGAAGAGATCAATGAACCCGAGACTCAAGTGAATGAAGAACTTTCAATAAGTTCTACAAGTGATGGGATAAATTTAGATCGATCGAAAATCATAGTTGATAATGTTTTCGCATATAGTGTTGCACAACATTATGCAAGACAGTGAGGATCTTGAACCCTTATCTATCGAAGAATGTCGACGAAGATGTGATTGGTCAAAATGGCAAGAGGCAATTCAATCAGAATTGAACTCACTTGCTAAACGTGAGGTTTTTGGACCGGTAGTCCAAACCCCAAATGGTATAAAATTGGTTGGCTATAAATGGGTTTTTGTGCGAAAGCAAAATGAGAGAAATGAAATTGTAAGATACAAGGCACGCCTTGTTGCGCAAGGATTCTCTCAATGACCCGGTGTCGACTATGAAGAAACACATTCACTAGTTATGGATGCAATAACTTTTCGATATCTCATTTGTTTAACTGATCATGAAAACCTTGAAATACATTTGATGGATGTGGTTACAACTTATCTTTACGGTTCACTTGATAATGAAATTTATATGAAAATTCTAGAAGGACTTAAAATGCCTGAAGCATATAGTTCAAAACCTCGGAAAATGTGTTCAATCAAATTACAAAATTCATTATACGACTTAAAACAATCAGGGTGCATGTGGTATAATCGCTTCAGTGAGTACTTGATAAAACAAGATTATATAAATGATGTCATTTGTCCTTGTATTTTTATTAAGAAAAGAACATCATGATTTGTTATTTTTGTTGTTTATGTTGATGACATTAATCTCATTGGAACTCCAGAAGAGGTCCAAAAGGCAATTGAATAGCTAAAGAAAGAATTTGAGATGAAAGACCTTAGAAAGACAAAACTTTGTCTTGGTCTACAAATTGAACATTTAGTAGGTGGGGTCTTCATCCATCGATTTGCATATACTGAGAAAATTTTGAAACGATTTTACATGGACAAAACACATCTATTAAGTACTCCAATGGTTGTTCGATCACTTAAAGTGAGTAAAGATCCATTCCGACCTCAAGAAGAGAATGAGGAACCTCTTGGTCCTGAAGTACCTTATCTTAGTGCAATTAGTGCACTTATGTATCTTTCTAATGCTATGAGACCTGACGTATCATTTTCTGTTAATTTGTTAACAAGATATAGTTCTTCCCCTATACGAAGACATTGGAATGGAGTTAAACATATATTGCGATATCTAAAGGGGACCAGTGATTTGGGTCTATTCTATACTAACAAAGATAGTGCAGATCTTGTTGGTCATACATATGCAGGTTATTTATCTGACCCACATAAAACGTGATCTCAAACAGGCTACCTGTTCACATACGGAGGTCCTGCTATTTCATGGCGATCTACGAAGCAGTCCATTGTCGCTACTTCTTCAAATCATGCTGAGATAATAACTATTCATGAAGCAAGTAGATAATGTGTATGGTTGAGATCAATGATACATTTCATCAAAGAAAGTTGTGGTTTGAAGTGTGATGTCAAGGTACCCACAGTGCTCTTTGAAGACAATGATGCATGCCTAGCTCAACTAAGAGGAGGCCTCATAAAAGGAGATAGAACGAAACATATTTCACCAAAATTATTTTTCACACATGATTTACAGAAGAATAGTAATATTAATATACAACAAATTCGTTCAAGTGATAATCCAGCAGATTCATTCACCAAATCTTTGCCAGCCTCAACTCTTGAGAAGATGGTGCATAAGATTGGAATGTGAATATTAAACATATAAATCGTGGTCTTTATCAGGGGGAGTAAAATACGCGTTGCACTCTTTTTTTCTTAGTCTAGGTTTTGTCCCACTGCATTTTCCTAAAAAGGTTTTTAATGAGGCAGCAATCAATGCGTATTATGAATGTCTATGTATATTTTTGTTCCTTCAACTTTTCTTGGACATCCAAGAGGGAGTGTTGTAAAACTAAATGGATGCCATATGAGCCACCCTTTAAGTGTCATCACTTGCTATACTAAAATGATGCTATGTGGGGCCACCCATTTTTGAGGTGTCATCACATGGCCAAGTGAATAACTTCCCCATGGCCAAGTGTTAGTTTGTATGTTACTAATTGGCTATATTTAGCCATTACTTTCATTCACTAAAGGATGAGATAAGAAAAAGTTTGGAATATATTATGCTCTCCCTTTGTTTGTTCTTCTTATTATTTTAGTTTATTAATATTAGTTTGTTAGCTAGATATTTTATAACAATTTAATTATTATTAGTATTAGATAACTTTCGACAATTTCTTTTTGCCTTTTTTCTGCTTTGTGCTTGTGCTTCCCTTTCCTCCTCCTCTTCTTCCCTTTTCCTTCTAGTCGTTGTACTTTTTTTTTTTTGAATTTATAGAAATGGATTGAAGAAATTTTAAAATATAAAAAAATGAGGTTAAGGGTGTGTTTGGTATAAAGGAAAACATTTTCCGGAAAATGTTTTCCAATTTTCTCATGTTTGGTTGGGTTAAATGTTTTGGAAAATGTTTTCCAAATCAACTCATTTTCCTGATTTCCCTTCAAAACTTAAGGAAAACATTTTCCAAAACTATCTTCCAACTTCCAATTAAAAAAAAAATTGTTGAAAAAATCAATTTACTTGGTCCCTACCCTCAAACCAGCCCCCCCCCAAAAAAAAAATAATTAAAGTTTATTTTTAAATTCAATATTTTCACCCCACCCTCACCCCTACCCCCACCCCCTACCACCACCCCTCCCAAAAAAATATTAAAAGTTATTTTTAAAAGATATTTCTAATTTCAATTTTTTATTTTTTTACACCCCCACCTCCTACCCTCGCCCCCCCAGCTCCCTATCCCACCCCCTTCAAAAAGAAAAAAAATTTAAGTTTGTTTTAAAAAATATTATTTCATTTTTTCACTCTTACCCTCTACTCCCCTACCCAGCCCCCACTCACCCCCTACCAGCCCCCCACTCCCCCAAAAAAAATTTAAGTTTGTTTTTTAAAAAAAATTTGAACTTTCAAATTTCATTTTTTCACCCCCCCCCCGGCCCTACAAGCCCCCCCATCCCCCCCAAAAAAAATTTAAGTTTGTTTTTAAAAAATATTTTCGACTTCAAAATTTCATTTTTTTTCACCCCTACCCTCGACCCCCACCCACCCAACCCCTACCAGCCCCCCCACCCCCCCAAAAAAAAATTAAGTTTGTTTTTAAAAAATATTTTTAACTTTAAAATTTCAATTTTTCACCCCTACCCTCGACCCCCCACCCACACCCTACCAACCCCCCCCACCCCCCAAAAAAAAATTTTAAGTTTGTTTTTTAAAAATATTTTTAACTTCAAAATTTCAATTTTTCACCCCTACCCTCGACCGCCCCCACCCCCACCCCACCCACCCCCTACCAGCCCCCACCCCCCAAAAAAAATTAAGTTTGTTTTTAAAAAATATTTTCAATTTCAACAATTATTTTCTACTCTAGTAAAAATAAAAGATTTTTTTCAAAAACATTTTTCATTCATAAATCAAACACTAAAAATCTTTTTCGAAAAATATTTTCTACTCACCAACCAAACATGAGAAAATAAGTCAAAAATCAACTTGTTTTCCAAGAAAACATTTTCTAGGAAAACATTTTCCTTCATACCAAACACACCCTAAATCAACTAAGTCTTGAAAATAATGACAAATTACTGTTGTTTCAAAATGAACTTAATAGATTTGTTGCTTTCTTGACAAAATTAATATTTGACGTTGGTTCTTTATGATATATGAAACTTATGTTTCAAAATAGAATTTATTTAGAATAAATTTCGATGTTAAATCATGTATTGGATTGTTAAAATTCAAAGATCAATTAATTATCTTTTTGACAGAAAAAATTCAGACACACCAAATTGAAATGTAAGCCAATTTTCACATGCACTTCAGAAAATAATACTTGTAGTTAGTTGTAAACTTCAGAAAATAATGTTTTTAGATAGCCATAATCATATAAATTTCATTAAAAAAATATATTTAAATTTGAGCTTTCTTAAGTTCACAACTTCAATAAAAGATGTCCGGGATTGACTTTGGCATGACATACCAGACTTCAAATAAAAATATTTGACGTAAGACCTTCACAAATTCAAATTCCAAATAAAAATATCTAAAGTCAGACACATATATTCAACTTCAATCATATACATCTGATATAATTTTCAAAGCAAGTAAACTTTTATTTTTTTATAAATATAAAAATGAACACAAATTAAATGACGAACCCAAAAAGAGGTCCATTATAATTAACGGGCTTTCACTAATCAACCATCAACCATCTGTATCGAAACGGCCCAAGCTTGGGTTAGTATCCAAAAGGCCCATAAATACTTTAATACATATTTAAGCAAAGTAAGAAAAAGGCGAAGAATCAAACGGTCAATTGTTTAGGGTTTTAGAGAAAACCCTTTGCAGCTCCGGTTTTCCTTCTGCAATGGCGTTCTGGGGTTAGTATCATTCTTTTTTTTCATGTATGAATTCCATTTTTTAACACAAGAAACGAAGTGCATTAATCGCATAAATTTAAATTTCTCTTTTCTTTTTGTGTGTCTGCTTCCAGGAGTTGAATTGAAGTCTGGTAAACCATTCACTCATAATTTCGAAAAAGAGAGGGGAAGGCTTCACATCTCCCAGGTTTGTTTCAAAAGCTTTAACACTCGCTTTCCACACATTTATTTTCTCTTTTTCATGGGTCATTTTTCGTGTGATTAATTTGTATTTTTTATCTTAAAGATGTTGTAGTATTGAAGTATTTGGATATAATTGAAATTTTATGTTCTTGTAATTTGCGTATATCTTCATTAATGTGATTGAAATACTTGAGAGTTATTGTGTTGAGCTGCCATTGCAAAATAGTGGTATTGGTGCTTGTTACTTGTCTGTTATAGAAAATGTCAAATAGATGAAACAATTTGTTGGTTTTAGTTCTTAGCCAGCACAACATCTTTCGTTTTCCAGTCAGAATACATAAGAATTCCATCAAAGTAAGAGGTTAATTAAATAAATTGTTTAGGTTTTCCATTATGAAAATGGGTCAAAAGGAAGTTTAGTGTTGAAAGCATAATCCTCTGCCTAAGTGTTCTAACATATATTTGTAACACTCAAATTTGGACAAATATTCCTTAAGTTATATTGGTGTATAGACAAAATTGAATTGGCTTAGTTGTTGGTAATCTTCTGGATGTATTTCTGGTGTCCAATATCACATTGTACTCTTTATTTTTCTCATCATTATGCTAATTTTATTTGTTTCTCTGAGTGATTCAGGCAACATTAGGCTCAGGCTCGTCAAACAAAAAAAGCATAGTTCAATGTAAAGTAGGTGATAAGGAGCCAATTTACGTGTGTTCGTTATTGCCAGAAAAACTGGAGACATGCCCATTGAATCTCGAGTTTGAGGAGGATGAAGATGTTACCTTCTCAGTTATTGGTTCTCACAATGTTCATCTCTCTGGTTTCTTTTACGGAGAGAGTGAGGATTGCTGTGGAGATGAACATGGATCGTATCCTTAAGATGCTACTATATGTTATTCAGCTTGAAATTTACCATTTTGATTTATGGAAATACATAAATGAAATTGTTTTCTTGAAAGTTTGAATCTATTTTCTGTATTCCTTGACATTGGTATAAAGTGACTACGAGGAAGGTGCTTCTGAGACTGATAGTGCGTCTGATGATTCTTTCGAATTTAATTATGACACAGAAGATGAAGATGAGGATGGCTCAACTGACGATGATGATTTTATCATGTACCCACCTTCCCCTATTCCCAACAGTGGAGGTAACTTCGCATTGTACTTTTCTTTGGGTCTTGAAAGATACTGCCAATGGTGTATGCTAAGCTTACAATTTTCTTTTTCCATTTTAAACACATAGTGTGATTGGAGAGGAGGATCAATCCAAAATTTGAAATTTATCACTCCCTTTGTCCCAATCTCTGTGGCATTGTTTGATCCAGCATGTAGGTCAAGTAAGAAATGATGACTTTTGAAACTTATTTTGCTGGGAGAAGAGGATGTATGCAAAATCTGAAAGCATAGTTTGGCAAAAATGTTGCAACTCCAAATAGTTAATTGATGTGATTAAGAATGAGGATCCATTCTGATTACATGTGGTATCTGTTATCAGAATTGAATATATTTCTGTTTCTCCAAGTACCGTGATCACCTTTCTATTAAAAAAAGTTTAAAACCTTTGGTTTCCATATATAGAGTGGGATTTTAACGAGAGTAAATTGAAAATGGTGGTAGAAAATGTCCATCAAATTTAAGTTGATTAGCTTCTTTTGATTTTTTCCTTCTGTGAAATGCATATTTCCTTATATTTAAAATGCCTTAAAATTTTGTTTGCATTTTGTAAAGTGAGAATTGAAGAGATACTGGAGGACGAAAAGCCTACAGATGAAAATGGTACATCCAAAAAGCCAAAGAAGAAGAAAAATCAGTCAAATGGGATTGATTACTCTGAGCGCCAGATAGTTGTGAAGGGTAATACTGGCAGTCCTCAGATGGAGAGTGAAGATGAGGATGGCTTTCCGATATCTGCTCCCTCTGAAAACAAAACTAAATCAGTGAGATCTAAAAAAACAGATGGAACTAAAGATCAGGATACCGGTGAGGAAGCAGGTGAGAAGAAAGGCTTAAAAAAGAGACTTCGTGATGATACTGGCAAAGCCAATGATCAGCAAAGGTGAGAACCATTTTACTTTGTAGAGTGTATTGTGAATTTTGAATTTAGGCTGCGTGGATATATTGCTTAATGGGGATGACCTAAATTCTTCATGGTATTCTGTAAGGTTCTATCTTCTAGATCTGTTAACTTTTATGATTTATTTTAGTGGTGATAACTCTATTTTCTTCTTATCCTACAAGCAGAGAAGACAACGCTAAGCAAAATAAAAAGAATAAGAAGAAAAAAGTATTGGATGGGGAGGAATCGGCTCGTGAGGATGTTTTAAAGAGCAGTGCCAATCCAGAGCATGTAGAGGGTAATGATGAGGCAGTTTCAGTAGGTAAAACTGAAGATGGTCAGAAGCCAACTAATGAGAAGTAAGTTCTGCTCTCTTGTAGTGTAGAATATAAACGAAAAGAATAAGGTTATAAACTGATATGTTTCGCAAATGAATCTGGATTGTTATGTGCTTAATTAACGGGCCCAATCTGGCTTAAAGTTTCATCCAATTGCATGTTCTGAATTCTGACTGGCTTCCATATGAGCTTATTGTATATTTTATTGAACTCCATTGCTTTTACTAGTAAGAAGCCTTGTGAGTCTATTCTTTCACTAAAAATTGTTCTCAGGGATACTGAGAAAAAGAAGAAAAAGAAAAAGAACAAGAAAAATCAACAGGACGGCAAAGCAGTTACAGAGGTTGAAAAAGATAAGAAGAATGAATCACATGAGGTACAGGAGGAGAATGCAGGGACTAAGCCTTCTCATGCGAGGACCTTTGGAAATGGATTGGTCATAGAGGAGCTGGCTATGGGCAAGCCAGATGGGAAAAAAGCTTCCCCTGGAAAGAAGGTCTGGTTTTCTTCCTTGTCATGTGTAATTAATTGTTCTCTCAATGGACTGTTTCATTTTGTACTTTCCTCGGAAAGCAATGGGATCTTGCTATAACTTCACAATTAAGTCGATCAGGATTTAGGCTTCTCCTTTTTGATGAATCTGTAGGAGTACACTACCTTTATTGATAATGACCTTTCTGCCACTGAGCAGGTTGGTGTACGTTATATTGGCAAGCTGAAGAAGAATGGCAAAATATTCGATTCAAATATTGGGAAAAGACCTTTTGAATTTCGCTTAGGTACTATAATTGATCTTATGTGAAGATGACTTTTATTATTTTGATGTGTTAAACTTAGGTTTTTGTGCTTGCAGGTATTGGTCAAGTTATAAAGGGTTGGGATGTTGGTGTAAATGGTAATTTACTTGGATGACTGAACTTATTGTTTTTATTTTATTTTATAGTTACGTTTCCAGTGTTGAGAACTAACTTATTTATGTACATCCTACTATCAGGCATGCGCATTGGGGACAAAAGGAGAATTACAATCCCACCAGCCATGGGGTATGGATTTGAGTTTCTGTTTGCAATCATTTGTAGTATCCGTTCATTAGTGCAAGAGCATGAAAACCTGTCTTGGGTTGTGGCAAAATTCTTGTAAGATGCAAGAGCATGCCCTAAGTAGGGGTATTGACTAGAGTGTTTCCCTTTCTTGAGAGAGAGAGAAAGTACAATCAGAAACCAAATTAATTTTTTCCTAAGCAAGTTACTAGTTTTTGCCTGTTTGCATCATCCTTTGAAGTTCTCTTTTCTAATGAATTGGAGCTGTCTTTCAAGTTTTTGGTTATCCATGCAATGATTGAGTAATGGTCTTCTTGTTTTCAGGTATGGGGCTAAAGGCGCTGGTCGTGACATACCACCCAATTCATGGTTGGTATTTGATGTTGAGCTGGTAAACGTTAATTGATCGTGCCTTCACATGGTGGATGTTTTTGCCTGTTCAGCATAATTCTAAAAGTGTTGTCATAGTATTCTTTTTATGCCAAAACAAGTTTGCTTCACTTGCTGGGAGAACTTGTACAAATTATACAAGTAGAGCAGGGGTTACCATTTTTGTAAGATGACTCAATTTCAGATTCCTGCCAAAATTTTGAAGTATTGTATGACTCGTCGAGAGTACATTTTCTGTCGGAAGACTAAAATCCTTGGATGATCATGTTTTGCTTTTGTTATACTGTTACTATCCGTTCATTTAGTAAGGTTTGGGTCCTTACAATATACGTCTGTTGGTTCATATAGAAAAGTGAGAAGGCGAAGTTGGATGATTTCAATGGTTCATGTTTATGAATTTCAACATTTGAAGTTGCAGATGTTGATCTTTGGACCTTATTTATTGTTTGTCGTGGCTTCTATTAGAGATTTTAATATCATTCTCTCCAACAGTCTCTGTTTAGTTTGAATTAGGCTATTATGTTCACTTAGCTCACAAACTTGTACTTTTTTACACTCCCTTCGTCTCAAATTACTTGATCATATTATAAAAAAATGATTTTCTTACAAAAACTAAAGTAGAACTGATTAATTTTTTTCTATTTCTCCTTAAATTATTCATTATTAATTTTGATATTGATGGATAAAATACATAAATAGAGTGTATTAAAAAGAGAAAGGCCAAATATATTCCTGTACTAGGAAATAGTTTTAAAATATCCCTAGTTATACTTTTGGGTTAAATATATTCCTCCCACTTTACTTTTCGGATTAAATGACTAAAAGAGGACACATGAACGACTAAAATTAAATGAACTATTCAATTTAAATAAATCAGATTCGGATATAATTCGATCCACCCCAATAATTTAACCCGACCTAATTTTAACATTCACCCACCCAATTTATAACATTGACCTAATTAAACTCTGAATTCATGCATACCTAGAGAAAATAACACTGCTTTGAAAAGAACAGACGCACATTGCTAATTTCTCTTTTTTGATGTTATCTCACATGCATTTTCCTAGTTTTTCTTTGTCCAGATATTAAAGACTGCTCATGACTGAGCCAATAATTTCTCAAGTGTTTGCTGACCTGCATACCGTTAACTCCAGAAAAATTATTATATTTCATTCATTTAATCTTAGTTATCTATGTGTCCTCTTTTAGTCATAAGAGTATATTTAGCCTGAGAGTAACGAAAGGAATATATTTATCCCGAAAGTATAGCTAGGGATATATTTAAACTATTTCCTATAGTACATGGATATATTTGACCCTTTGCCGTAAAAAGAGTTGAGGGGTAAATTAGTTAAAATACTTTTTTATTAATAATTTCTTAAGAAACGTATAAATAAAAAGTGGATAAGTAATATGGAGTATGATATCAGTGACTTTGAAGAAACTTGATAGTAGTATGCTTCAAGATAAAACTTTGCACTTGTCAAATGAATATTATGTCCAATATTTAGTACTCGACTAATAATTTCACAAGAACAGAAACATTACATAATTAATTTTTGTGTAGTGTTACAATCCTAATTATCGTATCACATGTCCAACAAAGTTCTTTATTTATTTTGCAAGAATCCTAGCTAATTATTTTCATACCAAAGCAGTAGACTCAAATTATGTCCCTAGTTTAAATTTCTAAATGGCATTTTTTATTTTTATTTTTTTACAGAATGTTAATAATTTTCTAACCAAAGTTGGAGACTTAAATTATGACTGAAATTCAGAAATTTAAACGTGGGTTTGATTTATTTTGGAAGATCATTAATAGTTTCTCTAGACAAATTTGGAGAATTAAATTACTACTACAAAATTTAAAATCTAAACAGGGTTTTAATTTATTTTGAAGGAATAATGTCAATCATTTTCTTACAAATTTAAATAAGATTTTAACTTATATTAGAGGCATTTCAGTTATTTTCTTATCAAAGTTGGAGACTTAAATTAGAAATATTAATCTTTTTAAAAACTATATCGGAGTTATGTATTTCAATTATTTTTCTTTCAAAAGTCCGAGGCTTAAATTATTACTGAAATTTAGAATTTTAAACAACATTTTTAATTTGTTTTGGATGGTAATTCAATTAGGTTTAAATCTAGAAGTGACAACCACGCGAAAGACTACCCAAATATATCTAAACCACAGCTTAAACAAAAGAAGACAGCCATCTCTTAAACCAAAGAAGACACCAAAAGACTAAAATACCCTTCTGAAGAAGCAAACATGAGTCATGGTGAATACCACTTGCTTGCTCTTACACACTTTGTATATAGTAAGTACCACTAAAATAATTCACTTCTTTATTTATTACTCTCTCCATTTAAAAAAAAATGACATAGTTTGACTTGGAACGAAGTTTAAGAAAAGAAAGAAGACTTTTTAATCATATGGTTTTACATTAAAGTTATATCAAATGTGCCAGAATGTCCTTTAATCTTATTGTTTTAAACATGTCACGTGGAAAGTTGAAGTGAAAATATTGCCAAAAAGGAAAGGAATCATTCTTTTTGAAACAGACTAAAAAGGAAACTAGATCATTCTTTTTAAAATATAGGGAGTAGTTCATACTTGATCACACACAAGCCACTAAACATACACATTTTACAAAAATCATAACAGCTGAACGAGAAAAGTCTGTTCTTTCCTTTCGATTTATTCACTAATCTGAAACTTAGTTCAATTTCTTTTTGCCTCAAAAATGTTGAGACAAAAGCCAAAAATTGTGATAATTGGAGCAGGAATTGCTGGTCTAACAGCAGCTAAAACACTATACACAATAGCACAAAAAAACTCTAATGAATTATTTGATCTTTGTGTTGTTGAAGGTGGAAACAGAATTGGTGGAAGAATTTTAACTTCAGAATTCAATGGTGATCAAATTGAACTAGGTGCTACTTGGATTCATGGAATTGAAGGTAATCCAATTTATAAAATTGCTCAAGAATTCAACTCACTTCAATCAGAAAAGCCTTGGGAATGTAAAGAAGGTAAATTAATTGATAAAAGTGTCAGTATAACAGAAGATGGTTATCAAGTAAATTCTTCTCTTGTTGAGTCCATATCATTTTTTTACAACAAAATGTTAAAATTTTGTTCTGGTAAAGGGGATTTTCAAGATGGGATTTGTAGACAAATTCTTGAAAGTTTGAATCTTGAAAATGGTAATGCTAAAAATCTCAGTATTGGTTCTTTCCTAAAGAAAGGTCTTGAATTTTTTTGGGATTTAAAGATAGATCAAGAAAATGTTCAAGTGTTTGATAATTGGAGTAGAAAATCACTTGAAGAAGGCGTGTTCGCGATGTTTGAGAATATAAATAGGCATTATTCATCAGCAGATGATTTGGGAACTCTTGATTTTAATGGAGAAAGTGAGTATTGTAATTTTCATGGAGATGAAATGACTATAGCTAAAGGGTACTCGAGTGTGATTGAAGCTTTGGCCTCTGTTTTACCTGATGGTTTGATTCAATTAGGCCGAAAAGTGACCAAAATTGAATGGCAATCTGACTTAATATTGGAAAATGATGATGGTGGTGCTGGTACTAAGCCAGTGAAGTTACATTTTAGTGATGGATCAGTAATGTATGCTGATCATGTCATTGTTACAGTCTCATTAGGTGTTTTAAAGAAAGGAATTCGCGATAACTCTGCTATGTTTAGTCCTCAGCTTCCTAGTTTCAAGACTGAAGCAATTTCAAGACTTGGATTTGGTGTTGTTGACAAGTTATTCTTGAAGCTGAGTAGTCCAAGTACTCATGATGATAATGGCATGATATTTCCCTACTTGCAAATGGTATTTCATCAATCGGACTCGAAGTTATTCCACCCTAAAGTTCCTTTGTGGATTAGAAGGACAGCTCTTATATATCCAATTTATCCAAATTCAAGTACTATAGTATCATGGTTTGCAGGTAAAGAAGCTCTTGAGATGGAATCTCTTGATGATGAGGAGATCATAGATGGTGTTTCGACAACAATGTCGTTTTTTCTTGCTAACTCAAAGCAATTCAAGAATAGCTCAGATTCTGCAGCAGAAAGTCGCGTAAAGTTTTCTAACATTTTGAGGTGCAAATGGGGTAGTAATCCTTTGTTCTTGGGTTCATATACTTATATAGCTGTTGGATCAAGTGGAGATGATTTGGATGCTATGGCTGAACCATTGCCTAAAAGGATATCAAAGAATTGTCCTCCACTTCAGATATTGTTTGCAGGTGAAGCAACACATAGATCTTGTTATTCAACAACTCATGGTGCTAATCTTACTGGCCTTAGAGAAGCCAATAGGCTTCTTAAGCACTTTCAATGTGTTGATGATGTTTAAAATGATTGCTGTTCTTTTTTCTCTTGTTATTCTGATATTCATTTGGATTTGAGAGTGCAAGGGGAATTGTTGGAGGGCACTTAGATGATAAAAAATGTTTGCAAATTGAACTTAACATGACTTGAATTCGAGATCTTTAGTTAACGATAAAGGAATATTTACTTACTGTCAAATTGAAGTTGGCTCTGAAAAAGTATCTTTTGGTATCTTTAGTCAGGTCATATCATGTCATGTTGTTTTTCTTCTGTTTATTAAAACAAAATACCATGTGAGCTCATCAACTTCCAGCTCCCCCTTTTGCCAACCATTTATTCCTTCATAAAATGCAATGCCCATTCTTAATTATGATTCACTATACTTTCACTAAGGGTGTGTTACGTATAAAGGAAAATGTTTTTCGAGATTCTCATGTTCGCTTGATTAAAATTTTGAAAATTTTTTGTTTAGGAAATAAGTCCCTAAAAAAGAGGAAAATGACTTTTCCAAAATAGAAGGAAAATAAAATACACGAGTGTTATTCCATGTTAATAATGTTCTCCCCACCTTCTAACACACTTCATCTTCACTCTAGTCTAAATTTTACGAAAATATTTTCCTTGGGTCATTTGCACTTTTGCTCCTATTTTGTGTTTGATCTTCAATTGTTGTCTGTCGAAATAAATAATTTTTCACGAGATATAAGCGCTTATATTTTCGCATCAAAATGTTCCTGCCCCACACCCTTTAAGAACTTATGCCCCACTAGGCATGAATTTGATTTATAAGAGAAAAAAAAAAACTAAAGACCAACCCATATTTGAAGGATAAAAATTAAAGACTTTGAACCACAAATCCATCTGTATCATTACGGATCCATTTTTAACACAGCCTCCTTTTTGCCTAATTTCAGTCTTTACTCATCAAATGTTAGAATGAGATTTGCAATTTCATACAAAGACTTAGTGGTACATCAACATTAAGTCAATCAGAAAAATGTGACAATTTATAACAGCTCCTACTGGTAGAAAATTCCTATCTTGTGGCACCTATAACAAGAGTGAAGTACTTCTAGGTTAAACTAAACACAAATTATGCCCTACTAAATCCTATCAAAGTCAATTACTTTTTAATATTCATCAGATAAAGGGATCATGAGGCTAACAATTAGCAATAAGATAACAACGATCAGTTCAATCAGGACGATGGGCTCTGCTCTTTATATTCCATTCCAGGAAAAGATATGTTGTTTTGTGACGCTGAGATTCTTGAGCTGTATATAGAATTTGTAGTGATCAAGTTATCCCCAGGAAAGGAAATAGAAGCAGCAACTTTGGGACTTGGTCCAGAGGAAGCACCGTCAGTTCGTTCTTCAGAAATGGGAGGGGCAGGAATAGCAGCAAAAGCAGCATGCTCGACTCTTTGCTTCTTTGGCTTCTGCTCCAGCTGTTGACCAGGTAGAAAGCTACCGACCACAATCTGATGCACTCAAGACGTTCAGATTAGTTTTGCAAAATCGTTGTCGTACACAAATGAGGAAATAGTAGAAGTTTTAAAGGAAGAAGATATTCAAAGTAGCCGTTATCTGTGGGTGCAATTGGCCATTCATAAGATTTCAAGAACTTTCCTGCTAACATGGAATGCATATTGCACACAACGGAAAAGTACAGGAAACGAAAGATCAATAGTATTTTGTGTGGCAATTCCAGCCAATGATCCCAAAATGTGATTCTTTTCACTTGAACAGCTTGTTGCCTAACACCTTGTTGGAATAAGAATAAATGGGGTAAAAACAATGGTAGTTCCAGACTAACCTGAATGGGACCAGCAGCTACCAACATGCCTGCAAGTCCTCCTCCCATAACCTGACCATCAGGGCCTGAAAGAGAGACACTCATCCCACCAGATCTGCTTTTTGTTACTCCATTTTCACTAGGCATAAATGATCCTGTCAGAGAGAGAATTTCAAAATGACCCTGCAGCAAGCAAGAATCATAAATCATAATTTAGATTAGAAGAAATGCTCTGATGATGAACAATCCATCATTGTTCTTGCATTCATTCCCAATGGGACAGAAGTATACTTTCTATGCATGCATGCTTTTTTTCTTGCTTTTTTGTGCATAGTAAAAGTAAACGGCTCACACCTCGTAGGTCAAGGTACCACCAGAAGAATTAGGCTGACGGAGTGTAACATTTGAAATTGCACCATTTGCAGCCAGCACACAAATAGCTCTAGATCCTTGTTGAGCAAATGAAATTATTTTCATGTTGACATCCTAATACACCAAAGAAATTATAAATCAAAAAGAAATTGGATTTAAAGTATTCTAAAACAAGTACAAACATCCAAGGAAATTTCAGCAAAAATAAATGTTCAGAAGCAAGGTTCCTCAGCTGCTATAATTGTTTGCCAACAGTGAGATGGAACTTTTCTTGCATTTGGTGCAAGTTCTAGCAAGTATGTTTCATCAAATACATACTTTAACCTGACAGACAAGCTGCATGAGAATTAATTATGTATCCCTCAATTGACAACGATACCAAGCCCCATATCAAATTGGAAAGAGTTAACTCTCTAATATTGGACTGACAATCACTACATCCATCCCACTTTGTTTAACCTACTTTCTACTTTGTATTTCCCAGAAATATGACTTACTTTCTCAAATGGCAAGGCCCGTCATTGCCAAATCACACATATTATAAAATTTTAAATCATTTTCACTGGAACTTGGGAGTCCATGAAAGCCAATTAAAGTCCAACCATAATGGAAAGAGGGTATCAATCTAAAGCACCTAGTGCATGTGCACAAGTAGGTTAAGTGCATCTTTTCTAGACAATTATCACTACAGAAATCATAAATGTGAAAGTATGGAAAAAATGTTCCCAAGGCTATAAACTTTTGGGTCTCCAGATCTAGTGTTTAGTTTCTTCAGGTATGATGCTCTGTGAGCGAAGGGCAACTGAGCATTGAATTGAAATTTGCTCATTTCACCCATATTCAAGATTCCAGTATTGTATTTCCTATTTCAGATGTTCAGTACTGCACCATTGAAAACCACAAAAATGTTTCATTCAAGGTATGAACTTTTAAAAAAGTTGTCTTGATACAACCACTACATCCAGGAGTTGTCTAAATTCCAAAAGTTCAAGGGATGTTGGTTTCAAGACATACTAAATAGAAGTAATTAGCGCTACATTGTTAGCACTCAAAGTCTAGTTCTTTATTATACAATAGAAATAACCAATAAGCACCTGTCACTTGTTACAGGCCTAAGGAAGATCTACATATGGATATTGAGATATCTACTAGTTGTACATCAAACCATTCACAATTACGTATATCATAGGGCATTTGTTAAATGTAAATATGTATAATTGAGAAAGCAAGTGAATTGAAGCCATATAAATTACTTATCCAGTTACAGTTCTTGGTTATTGTATCAATCAGACTGGGTAGGAAGTAATAATCACAATAAGAGTAACAACTAAAACTACCTCCGCCCAACTCATTGTCTTCTTTGACTACCCTTTCCCAAAAAATTGACCTTTTTGACAATTTTTTTATCAGAAGAAATCTAGGGTTCATCAGCCTATGATGCCTTAAAAACCATGTTGATAATGTCTTCATTTCATTCAGCAGTAGACAGCAGCATGCAACTAGCAAGAGGCTAAATGCAGATGAATTACAGCAAAGCAAAAGCCAAAATATTTGTCTAAGTGGGGTAGTTCTTGATATACAAATTTATTTTTCACCTTTGAAGAGATACATAGAAATTCCATTTGTAGGTGTATGTGAAACTTTTGTACATCCAACTCACCTGCTTTAGTGGGAATTGATTTTCATATTTCATACCAAAGAAAATTTTAAATATAGAATACAGCAATGACATGCATGCGTCAATCTCTACTGCAAAGAGACAGCCATATAATATATTCCTATTACCCAAGGGTCTAAGCAGAAGACCTAATTTTATTTCTATAATTCAAATGAAGCACTCAGTTGGTGGGGTCAAAAACAAGGAGGAGGAGATGGAGAATAGAGAAGGCAGCCATTTAAGCTTATTCCAGGAATTAAAAATACATCATCCTTTAAAGGAAACAAAGGTTCAGTACATGTTTCTTCCGTCAGATTGAATTATCACAATGCAAAATACCATGTTCCGAGAAGCACACTTTATTTAGGTGCTTTAACCTGTTTCTCCTAAAATACATCAGAAATTATTTTTTTGAGAAGGAAAAATACATCAGAAATTATAATTATAGCTCATGTCAAATTCAGGAGAAAATTCTTACTTTTCACCAATATACCTTCTCTATTGTCTTCACCAAGGGGTGGCATGTGTTCTCACTATTCATCGTTTCGCAGACAGTGTGAAATATAAGTCTGACGTCTTTGGCTGACTGACATATATAGCCAAAATCCAAAATATATCTGTATGGAAGTTCTTTTTTGCTTACAAGTCACCTCTTATAGTTACTCTTTTTTGACTAGTCAAATACACTAGAGAAATTTGAACTTGACATATGGAAAATAGAATCATATATTTGATCAACATGTCTGACCCAGTATCCCTCTTCGTGCTTTATCAGTGCTTTCCTAGAATCACATTTGCACATATCGCCAGCTAGAAGCCATATTTAACCCAATTTCGCAAGGGTATACCTAGAAGCTAAGATGATGTTTGAAAATTTGAGCACTGATGAACTTTCATTAGTTAGGTTTACCGTTCCTTCTATTTCAGTTACACCACTATTTGTGTAATAGTCCATAACATCAGATTAACTTCTCTAGTATCCCTACTCTAAAAATTTTATAATTAGTCATAACTCATGGAAGGAACATATAAGATAAGTCTCTCCATAACTCTAACTTCAACAAACACCATCCTTCCTTTCTTCAGGTCATAAAGCAGGCATAATGGAGTATGAGCATTTGAATTTCATTAATACATAAGGCTTACCTCACCAGTATTAACAGTGATCACATGCGGTGTAAAATTTGCACCGACAGAGTATGCCATCTCCTCCCCTAAGGAAATACAGAGTTTAGTATTAGCTCAAACAAAGTTAAACCTTCAAGACACAGGGAACTCAACTTTTACATGTAATATCAGCTTCCAACAAGTAAAATTCATAAGCATGATATTTAGATACTATGATGTTGAAGCAAATTGAAGCAAAACACAAAGAGAGCAAGTTTAACCAGCTTCAACGGAAAATTGGAGAAAACTATACGCTACTAAGTTTCAAAATGGTTCACTGGTCAAGTCTATTAATGGATTCAATTTTTTATTTTTTTTTGATGACTTATTAATAGATTCACTGAGGCACTTCATTTTTGCATGATTATATATGACAACAGTATTACATCTGTTGATATATTGTCAATAACAAAGTTACATCTACTGACAAATGTCCATGTATATTTGCATTCTAGTTTCCAAAATTTGATAAACAGCATAATAAACAGAATTTCGTTACTCGCATGCATTCATGAGGACATATCTTCAAATGTTTCATAATGATGATAACCCTTTTATTATTCTGAGAGAATAAACTATCTTAAAACACATCGCTGCTGAATACACAATTTAATCTTGTAGAAATCGAGAAGATAAACGATCAATGAGGTGGTAAAAGAATATTACTTTAATAGGGCCATGCAAACATATATGATTACTGTTCTAACTGAATGTCAAGTATTATCTATCACAGCAGTAGAATATCTTGCACAATAGTGAATGACTGAATATTCAAATAGCAAATGTTTTTGTGCCAGGTCCCATCTACATTATAATTACGTGTACAACTATAACTGAATCAACTGATTTTGAGCTCAATATTTTTTTGTCATGTAAAAAGATGAATAGTACAAGAATGTGAGTCAGATGGGTCAGATCAATATAGATTCCATCACTTTCTTGTCTTTGCAAAAGTTAATCGGCATCTTCGTTATATGCACTTGGTTATTTTTTCTTATTCCATCTCACAATCACTGGGTAAAGACAGACCTGTCCAGTCATATCAGCTTAAAAGAATACACAGCCAGGTGGTCCAACTCTATTTGGTTCAATGCATCAAGAAAAATGCAGCTTTAGATTCAGTAAGATTCTCCGCTTTTAGTATCTTCTTCAACATCATAAATGACAGGAAATCAAGACCCTTCTTGATAGGGGGGACCCCAGTTTAAGTTAAATACTTACAATAACTCACTTCAATGAACAATGCAGAAACAAACAGAAACAGGGCAAACAAATCCACACCAGTAGACCCAGCCTCAGACAGAAACATTATTAATCACAAATAACTATTCAACAGCATGAATACTGAAACATTTTATAATTCCATTCAAATTCTAAAATATAAAACAGACCCACTCATGCAAATAGGGGGGAAAAAGGATCAATAGGAGGGCTAAAATGTTACCTGGAGTTTCGACCTCAAACTTGTTCTTCTTCTTAAAGGAATCAACGGGGCGACTTCCACTGTTTTTCCAAGCTGAAAAATCTCCAGCAAGAGGAATTGAAGCTGATATTGGCATTGGTGATAATGCAACGGCTGGTTTACCATCTGGTCCATATTTCCTAGGTCTACCCCTCTTCTTCTTCGTCTCTTCTGTCACATTTGCAGGTGTTGTTGCTACAATTGATCCACTAAACTCAATATTGTTACTTTCACTCCTGGGAACCACTCTGTAGCTCTCAGGAGCTTCATCACCTTTAACTGTAACCCCAGAACTATTAACTCCTTCTTTCTCCTCCATGCATATACACAATAATAAAATAATCAAAACCCCTTAAACCCCAAATAACTTAAGCCCCAAAAACAGCAAAAAGATTTTTGTACTCAAGAACTCAAAACCCCTTAAACCCTTAAGACAACTCCAAATAACTTACGCTCCCAAAACAGCAAAAATATATTTGTTTTTCAAGAACTCAACCCCATAATAACAAATACTAATAAAAATACAATCTTTTTTCAAATGCTAAAATATATAACAAGCAAAATACCAAGAAAAGTACAAACTCAGCAAATCTGCAAATGCTAGAATTAATTGTATCTAAAGAAAGATCATCTGACCATGTGCAGTGCAAATCTAATGACTAACTGATACTCTGTTACTGCAGAAGAAAGAACAGAACTTAAAAGAACAAACTAATTTTATGAAAATGGAAAGAAAATATGTACTGGTAATTTTTTTTTAATTTTTTTTTGTTTGTGCTTTCAAAATTTCTTGAGAGAGTTGGTGAGATTAGGGTTTTTTGCAGAAAAAAAAAGTGATGGACGAAAAATAAAGTTGAAAATTCGGGAAAAATAATTTTAAATTTAATTAAAATATGAAAAAATAATTAAGTATTAGGTACTAATATTTAAATGAAAAATTCAAAGTAGCATTAATTATGATTTAAGTAAATGATTTGACACTCCATCTTGGATTGTTAATAAATGATGCTTTTAAAAATGACTAAGTTAAGTGAATTGAATATATAAAGCAAAAGAAATTTGGGAAGAAGAAAACTCCCTTCACTTTTAAATTGTGGTTTAATTTATTTCAAGCTGTAAAGTTAACATTGGTGCCATACAAATTTTTCCAATCTCTGACCTTGTCTTTGTCTTTTTAGGTAAATTAAACTTGACCATTCAAACAACATTAAAAAAAAAATACCCTTGATTTTTTATTTTAAAAAATATTATACAGTTTAAATGCCATAGTTGAAAGTCCAACAGAAATCTAAAGAGGCAATTACAAGATATATAATATTTCAAAAATCCTGGAGTTATGACTTATGGAGTCATTACAATTACTCAAAGAAAATGTTCCTATGTTATCCAGGTCTCTGTGGGAGTTTGAATAATTTGCAGCACATTTTCTTTTTGAATATGTTGGTGAATGAGGAAGCAAAATAGCTACATTAATTGATTTTGAGAAACCAACTATTATGCGGAAAAGAGTATGATGGGACCAGAGGCAGTTATGATTATCTCAATAACCAGTATACAATAAAATCTAGTGAAGAATTCCAATTTAAAATAGAAACTTTCACTAATAATAGAAGCTTCATAAACAATAATTATTCTTTGGGGTTATCTTGTGCTATAGTCCAATGATATCTTTTCTATCTAGACATGCAAACTCCCATCGTGTCTGACTTCCACGGATGTCTAATTGATTTCATTCCTAGGTATAATTGGGAGTTGAAAGTTGAAGACAAATTGGACGTACTATGATACTTTCTATTTTGTCAAGCCTTTGAAACTAGAAGAATAAACAAATCTACCTAGTGGAAAAATCGTCTTACTAGTGGTTCCATCTATTGCAACCAGCCAAGAACCAACATTATTTGACAATTAGCTTGTCTTTTGATCTGTACTTTCCACCCAGAGGAGCACAGCCAGCGTAATAACTTCAATCGATGGAATCAAAATTAAACATTACCCTTTCAAAACACCATCCCGTGAAAATACAAGTATAAGCTAAGATAGTCAATTATGATGAAATGCAGTAGCATAAAATAAGCAATTAATTTATCAACATTGAAATTCATAAGCTGAAACTGAATCATGACATATAAGGACAAACAATGACACTAGCAAGTGTGGTGACAACAAGCCTACCCTTAGCCATGGCGGCATTCATACTTGGGGAGGTTGACTACTTTTCCCATACTGAAATATAAATGTATTGGCACCTGCAAGTGGTGCTAAGCCAGCTCTGACCTCCGCGACACTCACAATGAGTACTAATGGCACGGGTTCAGCTGGATAGAGCTACTTTTCTAACTGTTATGCTGTGTTTCTAATTAAAAAGAAAAGGGTGCATTTCAAATCTGCAACTTTGATCCCTTTATTTGCTTCAATGTAGATGATGATGCTAAAAGAAAGTATCAGCATAGCATTCACAGATAAAGCACAGTATGAATAAAGTCATTATCCACTATAGATTTGCTTAAATCAAGTAAAATCTCGTCATAGCTTCCATTACATTGTTCTCACAATTGCCCCACGATAATCAGCTCAAAGTCGTTTGTGTGCCATCTACCTTGTGGGTTGCCTTCACAGTAAACATGCGCTCTGATAGATTTGAAAGTTGGAATAGACATTCATCTCCAGGTTTAAGGCCATACACTTCAATAAATGATGCCCAGTTTCCTATCAAAACCTTTGAACCGAAATCTTCATGATAGATGACAGGCCTGGTTCTATTATCTGGTCCTTTGAGATAAATAGTAATCTTTCTCATCTTTTTGCTGCTTGGTAAAACTTCTGGCCAGCTTTGTGGTAATTCCTACACAATAATTTAAGGCTTGAGGAGAATAAAAACATATATACCTCGGAATCAAAAGACAATTTCAGCCAAATACACGTAGTTAAGCACAATGTGGAATGGACTAACTCTCTAAAGAGAAAGCTTTCTGCTGTAAATCATAGCGAAAAGAAAAAGAATGAACAGTGTAGTCAAATGATTGGCAGTGCCAAATATTCAAATATCAATAGAATGTAGACCCTGCTTCAAAGAAAATGATATATGACAATGTTCCAAGGAACATCAAAACTTTTTCTCCTTGAGAAATAGACAGAATGTTCATTCTTCATAGAATAAAAAGTCAGTTGAAATCAGCCACTTGCTATGACCAAGAAAAAAGACAAGAAAACAATGTCAATTGCCAATCATGTTGACTAGGTTCTTTGAAAAAGATTGGCATTTCAATCACAAAGAATTCTCATTAATTTTTAAATTAAAGATAATATAAACTTTACCATCAGAGTGATGCTTGCAATCAAAATTAGCATAATAATTTACTATGAACTCGGTGGTGATTTCCTGATATCCTCCTTTTGTATAAATAAATATGCACTGATCTTAGTAAAATTGGCTTGCAATCATATTGTTTATTCCTTTCAAACATTTTGTTTACTGACAAAGTAATCTGCCTTTGTCATCAATCTTCATGAATTATCGAAAATATTGTAGAGTATTTAGGCCGAAAGTATATGATTATTCAATGCCAAGGACAGGTGAAAACAATACTAAAATGCATGTCACTCCAATGAACAGTATATGCTGCAGGGATATACACTGTTCAAGCAGTGTATATGTTGCACGTAAGAAATCAAACAAATAAATTCCTCAAAATCCAGCTAATAGCACAAGGAATGATATTTCAGTAAGATTTTCACCAGAAAAGATCGACCATCCACTCGCAGCAAACATGAGAAGTTGCCAGCATCAAGAAATGATGTGTCTCCTAAATCAGCAGGCTCGCTTTCTATAGCTTTGTTATTACCAATTTCAGCCTCAGGGCAACCTTGACCATCTTTCTCTATTATTTTTGGCTCTTTTCCTGCATTTGCTCATGCAGTATACATCAAATAAGAAAGTAGCAGGAATGACGGTCAAAGGGATTGAGCAGTGAATACATGCATCGGATGATGAGTAATAATGAGAAAAGGATATCAAATGAATTATAAACTAATTATGAAAATGTCATACCATTTAACTTTTTAGAAGGACAACGCGTTTTTGCTGCCATCTGCTTCAGTTCTCGCTTATCTACTCTTGTTTTCTTACCTGCATGACGCAGAGCCCCTCAAATAACAGGTAGAAATCAAAATAAAATAAAGAATAAAGGAAAATTCTAGTCTCACAAATAAGTCAGAGAATAATAAAACTACATTTAAGATAGCAGAACAAGAATTTGCTTAGTATAAAGACACCAAATGACTGCCTAACAAAACACATCATTGTGTTGTTGAAAATATATACTGGAGCAAATCAAATTTAATCACAAATTTGCATGGAAAATGAGGAAGAGGAAGGGAACATTAAAAAATTTTCTTTTTTCTTTTTTCGTTTAACTAGAGAAGTAGGATGGGAAGTGGGGGAGAGAGAGAGGGATCAGTTTTCTTTTAGCGCCATGAAAAATTCTCACTTCCTTTTCATTTTCCCTCTTTGTATTTTTCCTTTCCCTTCCTTTTCCATTCCAATCTCTCCAAACACGAAAAGGATATATTAAGAAAATATGACATATATGAAAGGAAGAAAATTACCCTTGACACCATTTTCAGTTGATTTCAGAGTGTCAGCATCAATGTTTGATGCAAAAGTTGTGGTCACTGGTAGTTGTCCAACTCTATCAGACACTGGTACAACAGTAACTAAGGGTGTTGAATTCTTTTTTTCCCTTAAATTTATGTCAGTTGCCGGGGACAGCTCATCATGAGAAGTTGTTGTAGCATTAGTTCTCGGTCTTTCCTTCCTCATGCAAGTGCCATTGTAAAAGTTGATCTTCTGACAACCACTCGTTCCATATATTTGAACAACAAAGTGCTGACCCTGAATATAATGGAAGACTAAGAAGTCTCCCAATTTTAGACCATGCTCAGACGAAAAGGTCTGCCATCCTTGTCGAATTGCAAGCGAACCATTATGATTACTAATTCCCACCTTCCATCGTTGTCCAGTAGAGTCCTCCAGCTCAATTTCTTGATCCATCAAGTGAGATATCAATCGAGCAAATCTGGGGGGAATGTACTGAAAAGTTTGTACTTGAGAATATGAATGTCTATAAACTGATATGTAACTCAACATCTAGGGTAAAGAAATAATTTACGCACTACACTATTGGAAGTGTTTGAATTGTACATTGAGCATTTGGTTATCCAAAAAAAACCAGAATTTTTACACTAGTTCTATCCTGTCATGTGCTCAATTTAAATGCATAAAATAACAATTAGGGAAGTTAAAGCAACAAATGTATGCCAACTATTTCGGAAGAATAGAAATGCATGAGCATTGAATCATAAAGGACTGTAACAATATTTTTCACTCAGAAGCTACATAAGCTTATTTTTGAAGTACTTTTTCTTCCATTACTTAGGAAGGGGAAGGGGATAGTGTGAATTGTACTCACACTTGTTGTGAGGGAGGCTCCCAACTGTTACAACTAAACTATAAGCTACGGTAGCATAAGAAAATAACAACTTCCAGGGTTGAAGGTGGCTAGATCACTTGGTGAGCTCCCGGCCTTTTACAGTTTAGGTGGAGAATTCAAATTCCAACAATAGCACATAATTCACATCCCTTTCCCGGATGTAATAAAAAAATTACAGCTTCAGAACATAAACACAGGATCTAGCTTTTTCATGGTATTGCAAGTACAGAATCACGTGATCCAATTCAAGCAAGATTTGAATTATATTAAACAAATCATTTTTACAGTTGATATTGAGAAATTTGAAGAGAGAACTTTTACAAGTAGCTAAGGAACGGAATCATACGATGTGTGATAGGTTAGTTTACATGCTTTACAAAGTACACGGCCAATGCGACATGACAAAAAACATTAGTTACATGTACTGACTGCATCTTCATGATGCCATCAATGAAATTTGATTGAACCTTAACCCCCCCACCCCCAAACCCCAAATTCGGCCTTCCAATCTGCTTCCACTTTGAACAAAAGTTTGTAAAAATCTACAATTTCTCCCTCTACTTCCTCCTCCCCAACATGCATCACCCCATTTTAACAACTCTATGAAATTCTTTTGTGTATTCTCGACTAATACCCATATAAATTTTTTGTATTTGAGTCCCCCTCATTTAACCATAGCACCTTCGATCTTTCTCCAACTCACCTCTTGGACCAAGGCTGAATTGGCTAACTCCCTTTCCAACCCCTTTTTTCTCTCCTTCTCCCTCTCTTCTGACTCCCTTCTCACTTCAGCCATATCTAATTCCCCACTTCATTTATAATCTATTTCAGTTTCACCTCTAGCCTCCCCAACACTTCCACAACACTGTATTTTTTTAAGCAATTTCAACTTCTTGGCAAGACTTTAAGAAAGTCTCCCCTCCACTGCATAACTCCACCACCAACCAATCACTTTATCCCCAAAATCAATCACACTTAGCCACACGTTCTCAAATCTAAAAAAAGATCCCTCCATCTTCCTCTACATTTCTTTTGAATAGTGGTAATGTATTCTTCAACATTAAGGATATGCTGGAGACCTCCAAAAATTATAGTAATTCTAACAAATCTATTAGCTGTTCAACATCCTCTACTCATTCTTCTTTACACCAAAAGTAAAAGGTTATAATACAATTCCACTAAATCTTATGAATGGAACTAAAGTTATCTTCAAAACATCTATTGTGTCTCTCTTTCCATATCGTCCAACATATACAAGGTGGGACAATTCTCCACCATTTCTTCTAACTCTTGCTACCTCCTCTTCTGATCCAACAACTGAGAAGGTCTGTTGTGTGTTCTAGCATTATCCAGTTGGTTTCGAATAGACTAGAGGAATAATGCCCACATTTGTGAGGTCAGTCTGCAGTGTAGGAACAAGTGGTTATTGGTTTAAACAACTTCATTATCTAGGTATATCTCAGCTTCTAACTCCTTCCAAAAAGACTTTTTTGACCCCTCCCTCATAGGTCCATAGAGATCCCCTAAATTCTCACTTCATTCCATTGCTAATGTATCTAAACCGCACCCCTGACACAAACTCCCTCTTGTTAACTTCTACATACTCAACTTTCTATCATCTCAAGGAATGAGTATTCCAACCACACTTTCCCCGGCAAAAATATAGTCATACTTCACCCACCTTCCGCTACACACTTCTAATAATGCTATCTATCAAAGTCTCCAATTTTCTTTCTTGATTAGATATCACATTTGCCCTTATCATCTAAAACCTACTTTGATGAGTTTACTGATAGAGATTCCAGCCAAGAAGGGTCATCTTTCTGAAGACAAATCTAGGTCCATTCATGATGTTAAATGGAGTTGCCTAGTCTCCCTATTTTTTTGGTGTAAAGAGAATTGTATAGAGGAAGTAGATGACTCTGTAGATTTCTTAGGAGCCTAGTAAATCTAGATTCTAACTTCTGTTTACCAATTTTTTGAGGTGGCCAGCATTCCTTAATGGTGAGGAATACAACAGTACCTTTGTCAAAAAAAAGGAGGTCATCTCTCTAACATTCCTCCTTTTTTTTCATATTCTATAAGCAGTGTAATCTCTACGAAGTTTGAAACACGAAATGCTACAATTGACAGAACTCATTCGACAACTCAAATGAGATTATGAAGTTTTATTAATACAAAACCAACGCTCAACTTAGGATTTGTGGTCCTAAATGCAGGCAACCCAATTATCTAGGTTGAGCTTTTTAAGAGTGATATGATAGACGAAGATGTAATACACATACTAAAATAGGATGGTTTAAATAGAGGAGTAATACACATACTAAAATAAGATGGTTCAAATAGAGGAGTAATCCACATACTAAAATAGGATGGTTTAAATAAAGGAATGTTACAGGATCACATTGTAATAGGGAGTTACATAACAAATTGAAGGAAGTTAAATATAATGGTTGTAAGAGCAGGTAATACTATATGTAAAGATCAAATTATACCAGAACTTGGAGAAAACTGTCATCGATCATGACTTTGAAGAAAGAGCTAACAATTGGTGAGGGATCCCTTTCTCCATGTATCAACAAGCACGTACGGGTGCACAATTCACATGCTTCATTAAAAGATAAAAACTATAAAAAAAAAAGTATAAGAAATATTTAAAAATTATATCAAAGTAAATATTTTTATTTATAAAATAAAATTTTAAAATTATACATATAATGTCAGGTTGGTTTGGTCTCGGGTTGGTTTTTTTAGTTAAAAACAAACCAACCCAAATATAGTTGGATTTTTTTTTTCAACACCAAACCAAGTCAAACCAACCACTAGTCGGGTTTTTTTTACGATTTGACTCGATTTGCAATTTGGTTTGATTTTTGGTTCGATTTTGTACACCCCTACTTCTATATATTGTAGTTGGCAAGAATGTGCAAATTCGACCATTTGACTTAGTGGTAGTTTATACAGTAAATACAAATGGTTGAACATTGAAATATTCCAATGAAGAGTGAAATTAAGCTACAAAAGTATTGTGGAATCATGCTATTTAAAGAACTATATATACTTATGTTATAAATCCAACAACAATATAAATTCTTGAACAACAAATTAAAATAAGAACAGATGAGAGTGAAGTTGAAGGAGATAAAAAGAGTAAAGTAAGAGAGAGTAAATAATTATTAAAATGTCAAAGGTGGTCTTCTTTTTTGGAGGGAAAAACAAGCGGTTTTGGAGCTAAAAGGACATTTTCGTCATTTACCCGTGTCTTGGCAATTCGTGCCAAAATTCTGTCTTGCCAATTAGCAGTACTCATAGTTAATAGTATTTAAATTGAACATTCAAAGTAGCATTAATTATGATTTAAGTAGTAATTGATTTGACATCTGTCTCGGAAAATTAATAGTAAATGATGCTCTTTTAAAAATGGCAAAGTTAAGTGAATTGGATACAAAAAACAAAAGAAATTTTTCTTCACTTTTAAATTGTGGTTTTAATTATTTCAAGAACTAAAACTTACGTTGGAGGCATGCATACATTCACATTTCAGACCTTGTCTGTCTTTTCAGGTGAATTGAAGTTGACCATTCAAACAACATTTAAGAAAAATGACACCCTTTATTTTTTTATAATAAGATTGTACTGTCTTATTGTGAAATTTATTCCTAAAGACTGCCCATTTTCTTATTATGAAGCTTTTATCCTTCCATTTGGGTTAAAAGTAGAACAAGATGTAAGCTGTAATTCAAAAAATGTTAAAATGTCATAGTTGAGAATCGAACTCAAATGTAATGAGAATTTTGTAAGATGTTGGTAAAATCCAGTGAGTATGACTTACGGAGTCATTATAGTAAAGTTAACCTTGGCAATACCAAAAACTCAAAGAAAGTATTCCTATGTTACCCTATAGATGGAGAAAATCTTGTTGAGAGCATCACCTCTGGTTGTACGTATGGCTGGCAACGAAACCGGGAGGTGTCGGTTCCGTTCTCGCTTGTACCGGTTAGGGCCGGTGTCTAGGGGGTCCGGGAGGGGTAATGGGACGGAAATCGGGATATACCGGTTAGTCCTAGTTCCGGTCCAGTTTGGTTTTTTTTTTAAAAAAATGTTAAATATAGCCGTTTTGAGAGCCGTTGGGCAATGGGTTTTGGGCCCCACCAACGGCTCTTTCGCCCCCATAACTCCCCTTTACACCCCCTACCCCCCAAATTTTTTTTTAATACCCAACCTTCTAAAAACTATATTTTCATCCCTTTTTTTTAACCATAAATACCTCAATCTTTCATTCTTTTCACTCACAAAAATATTATCTTCTGCTCTCTCAACAACTCTCAAAAGTCTCACTCAAGTCTCTACTCTCTAATCTCTTATTCTCGTTAAAATTACGAATTTGGTCTTTGGAAATTGGAGCTTCAATTTTCGGCTTTCGGCCATACACATCTACTTTTTTAAGTAGACGTTTGGTATATTCGTTCCAACTCACTTTTCATTTAATTATTTATTTGTTTGCATTTAATTATTTATTTTGTGAGTAATTAGTCTCTAGTCTCTACTTATTTAGTTATTTATTTGTTTAAAACTTTGCATTACATTTTCGTATTATATATAATTTACTCACTTTTTATATTTGAATATGGATTCCGGTAAAAACAATGTTGACAAGGGTAAAACAACTATAGTTGATTCGATCACTAAATTATGGAGCTCAAAATCCAAGAAAAAAAAAAAAACGGTAGTACTTCTAAATCTAAAACTAAAAAATCTTCTCAATTAAGAATAAATACGGATGATTATACGCATGTTGATGAAATTATTTTTAATATTGATAGTAATAGTAGATTAGATCCTTATCATGAACGTTTACAAAGAAGGTTCGGTAATTTTGATGAGGAATTACCTGAAGATGATGAACATGATGATGTTAATGATTATATTGATAGTTTTGATAATAATGTTGATGAATATGATGATGATGAAACTGAGCCAGTTACGGCTACTACTCCCACTCCCAGTCCCTCTTCCCCTTCCGCTCCCTTTCGTTGTCCTGCTCCCGTTCCCCCCGTGCATCCTAGGCCTAAGGTAGAACGCGCTAAAAAATAAATTGTGTGGCAATTTATGACTCAAAATGAAGATAAAACACAAGTTATTTGTAATAAATGTAAACATAGAATGAATCATAAAACTGTAGGAAAACAGTGTGGGACGGGACATTTGAGTAATCATTTCATGTCATGTTGTAAAAATGAATTTTTACATGCTAAAGCTGTAGCCGAAGCTAAAAAGAATGGTACCACCCTTCCTGAAAATGTAGGAGTAGGGGGCTCTAATATGGTTCAAACACAATTAAATTCTTCTATGTTTCTGGCTTTAGTATACAACGGTCATCTAGTAGAGAAAAAGATCTTGAAGAATTAGCTAAAATAATTGTTGTTATGGGTTTGCCATTTAGTTTTGCTGAAAATCCGAATTTAATTCATTATATTCAAATTGTGTATAATCCACATTTAAAAGGTTTTACTAGAAATACAATTAAAAATGCTATCTTTGATTATCAAGCTCAACATTTTCAATATCTTCGTTGTTTATTTTATTATAATAATTGTAAAATAGCTATTACTTCTAATATGGGTCGTAGTGTAAATGGTAATGATTATTTCACTATTACTGCACATTTGATTGATGAAAATTGGACTTTGCAAAAAAGAATTTTAGGTTATAAATGTTGTGAAATGCATAAAACCGGTAGTTATATAGCTCAAACAATTATAGATGCTTTACAAAACTATGGAATTTGTGATAAAATAAGTAGTGTTACCTTAGATAATATTTCTAATAATAGATCTGTTGTTGAAATACTAAAATCGTCTTTTTGCCCTATTTATATTGATGATTTTCATATTAGGTGTGATGTACACATATATAATTTGATTGTTAGAAATGGTATAGCAATGTATAATGATGGTTGCATAAAAGTTGAAATTGCATGTCATTTTATTTTTAAATGTCAACTTAAGTCTAGACGTAGAGATTTTGAAAATCGTTGTCGTGAATTCAATCTTCCACCTAGAAAAATTCCAAAATCAGTGTATACTAGATGGAATTCTTTATATGAAATGCTTGAAGTCGCTTATGAATATAGGAAACTTTTTCAAATGGTTTGAAATGCTCATAATTCAATTATGACATGTAGACTTGATGATAATGATTGGAATGACATAAAAGAACTTATAAAATTCTTAAAAGTTTTTTATTTAACTACAAAACAAATATATGCACTTTATTATCCAACTATTTTTTCTATTTTACTTAATATTTGTGTTATTTCTAGTAAATTTTATAAATTCAAAAATAAACCAAGATTTGAAGAATCTGTTAAGAAAATGATTGAAAATTTTAAAAAATATTTTATTCCTATTCCTCAAATTTATTTAACCGTTTGTTTGTTAAACCCACATTACAAAGATGAAGGTGCATCACGAATGATTGATAAAATATATTTTAATTTGGGTATTGATAGTGAAGATGATGAAACACCTAGTTGTCAGATAGTATAAAAATTGAAGTTAGAAAATTGTATGACTTGTATAATTCTAATAGAATGAATGTAGTACGTAATGAAGAGCCTCAAAGTTCTAGGAGTAAATATAATGAAGATGATCTTGTTGATATGATAGATTGTTATCTTGAACTTTCTCATAATGATAGAAATTATTTTGATGCATATATTAATCAAAATACAAAACCTGCTACTATTGATCTTCTAGAATGGTGGAACAATCGTGGCCAGGGATTTCCAAAACTTCAACCGGTTGCTCGAGATGTGTTAGCTATTCAAGCATCTTCAGCAGCTTCGGAAGGCGCTTTTAGTGCAGCAAGATTTCAAATTGGAGAGCATATATATTCATTAGCAGTAGATAACTTGGAGATATCGATACTATTTAGAGATTGGATTAATGGCGAGAGAAGGAGTTATGGTCGTCCACCTTTACCGACCAAATTTGAAAATGACGTTGATGAAATAATGCAAGATTTTAGTGACGACAGCATTGATGCAATGGAGGAACTATCTAATCAACCAACTTCAGAGCATGTTACTAGAGAAATGTTAAATGATTTAAAAAAAGATTTCCTTGGTAGCATGAACTATTAAATTTAAATGTCTATTAGTATGAGTATAATAATTCGAGGTCTAATTCAAACAGAACCCTTCCTAGAAGGTGACTATGTAGATTAGATTTTTTAATACTCTACTAATATTTTGTAACTCAACTTGTACTATTTAATTAATATTAATAAAAGTATAGGCTATTCGCCTTAATTTTTTTTTATTATTGTCTTAAATTTAAATTTTCAAACTTTTAAAGTGTGAAATTTAAACTTTTATAGTTTTAATGTTTGAATTTAAATTTTCAAACTTTTAAAGGGTGAAATTTAAACTTTTATAGTTTTAAAGTTTGAATTTAAATTTAAATTTTCAAACTTTTAAAGTGTGAAATTTAAACTTTTATACTTTTAAAGTTTGAAAGTTTGTATTTAAAACTTTAAAAGTATAAATTTTTAACTTTAAAATTATAAAAGTTTTAATATTATTTGAGTAATGTTCCTAATTTTTTAATTTTAATAATTAATTTTATTTTTTTTAAATATAGCCATTGAGACCCGATTTCCAATCCGATCCGGTCCGGGACAGGTATACATAAAATTTTCCAGAATTACCGGTTCCGGTCCATCCCGGTTCCGGTCCCGTTGCCACGCATAGCCGTACATGATCCGGATTTAGTCGGGGCTTCAATGCGGGCTTCGAACATGGGAAACCAAAACAAAAACGTTACCCTGTCTGGGACTTTAAAATGATATGCAGCACATTTCTTTTTGGATATTTTGGTGAATGAGGAAGCAAAAGAGCTTATGTTTAGTGGCCTTCAGAAGAATGTGAGCACTGTAAGTTTCGAAGTTGAAGAAGATATTCTGGGACCAGGGAGTTAAGGTTGTCTCAATAAGCACATAGCAATAAAATCTAATGAAGATTCTCAATTTGTAAAGAGAAACTTCCACAGCTTATAAGAGGCAAATATTAATATAAGAATCAAGTCCGCAATCAATATTCATAGACTATGTACACTTATAAGACAGCAACTCATTCTAACTGCTATGCTTCTGAGAAAAAAGAAAAGGATGCATGTCAAATCTGCAACTTTGAGACATTTATTTGCTTCAATGTATGATGCTGCTAAATGGAAGTATCAACATAGCATTCACAGATAAAGCACAGGATGAATAAATCCAATATCTGACTACAGATTTGCTTAAATCAAG